AAAAATACAAGTGTTTGTATGACTTTTGAAATTTCACTTTTAGATTTAAATTTGGAATCTATTTGGAACATTTTGTGTGTATGGTTTGAGGTGAGCTCTTTTTAATGTTTTTCCAAGTTGTTAACCAGTTATTCAAGTGCTATTTTTATTTATTTATTTTTTACACCTACTCAAGTGCTATTTTTAAATGAGTGTTTTCTTTATGATGGGAATAGATAATAAATGCACAAGACACAAATTCCCAAAGGGTGAAATTTTTGTCTCTCCCACCCTGTCTCTGCCCCCACACCAGGTCTTCTCCCCACAAGGCAGCCACTGTTCCCAGTTTCTTGTACATCTTTCCAGGAATGTTTAACACATATATAAAAGCATGCACATACTTTTTCATATAAATGGTAACAAAAATACTTCGCATCATCCTATCTTTTCACTGAACAGTGCATCTTGGAGATCACTCCACAGTAGTACACACAGAGCTGCCTCACTCTTTGTATTGATGCAGAGTATTTCACTGTAGGAACATCCATACATAATGAACGGTCCCCTAGGAATGGATATTTAGGTTGTTTCTCATCTTTTAGTATTCCAGCAATGCCACATGAAAAGCAGACATCATTTTGCACATGTGTAAATATATCTGTAAGGTAAATTCCTAAAGGCAGTATTGCTGGGTCAAAAAATATATGCACTATAAATTTTGATAGGTATTGCCAAATGTTTTTCATTGAAGTTCAATTTATACTCCTACCAGCAATGTATGAAAGCACCTATTTCCCCAGTGGATTATTTTTAAAAATTGGTATCTTGTAATTTTAATGTGTAGTTCTCCTGTGAGCCAACTTGATCATTTTTCATCCGTTTAAGAGCTGTTTCCTTTTCTATAAACCATCCATTCATATCCTTTGCCTATTCATATGAGCTGGGCATCTTTGTCTTAGAAACTATTTGTGCAATAAGGAAATTAGCCCTTTCTCTGTAAAATGAGTTGCAAATATGTGGCATTTTACCTAGTTCGTTGTTTGTCTTCTGATTTTGTTAATTTTTCAATGCAGTAACGTTTTATTCTTATGGCTTTGAGGTTTTGTCACACATGGTCTATCAGTTATCTGTTGCTGCATAATGAATTATTCCCAAATTCAGTGGTTTAGAGCAACAGCAGTCATTGTAGTATTATCTCTGATGGTTGAGGGTGCGGAGTTTGACTGGGCTCAGCTAGTGGTTCTCGTTCCAGGTCTTCTGTGCAATTGTAGTCAGATGGCTGTTCGGCTAGAGTCATCTGAAGGCTTTTCACTCACACATCTGGCCGTTGATGCTGGCTGTCAGCTGGGCCGTTGGCCCGAACGTCTACACACAACCTCTCTGTCCTGACCTCACAACCTGGAGCCAACCCAAGAGACAGAAAGTGGGGACTTTCAGTCTCTTAAAGCCTGAGCCTATGGAAACAGGACCTGAGTGGTGTGGGGAAGGCAGGGCTCCACTGAGGCCCTGGACAAGATACTGCCCCTCTCCGGGCCCTCACTGCTCATTCATAAAGGGAGAGGAAGATGTACTAGAGCATGGATTAGCACACTTTTTCTTGAAAGGGCCAGATAGTAAATATTTTAGGCTTTGCAGGCCACACTGTCTCTGTTACAACTGCTCAAAGCTGCCATTATAGCACGAAAGCAGCCATGGACAATACACAAACAAATTGGTGTGGCTGTGTTCCCACAGAACTTATTTATGGCCATTGAAATTTGAATTCCATTTTTTTATGTATCACAAAATCTTTTTAATATATATACATAATTCTTTTTTCTGTGCAGGACCCATTCTTAGCATGGGAGTCATAAAAATAGGTGGCCAGATTTGGCCCGTGGGTATTATTTGTCCCTAAACTTCTGGACTCCAGGAGAGTTTCTCACGTTAATTGCCCATGAATGACTTGGAGATCTTGTTAAAATGCAGATTCTGATCCCATCCCTTATGGAGAGGCCCAAGAACCTGCATTTCCTAGAAGCTCCCAGGAGATGCTGTTGTGGCCCATGGACTGCGCTTTGAGCGGCAAAGGGCTAGAGAATCAGCCCGCTCGGCCGTTTCTCAGTTCAAAGGCGGCGGTCCCAGCCCGCTCCACGCTGAAGATGCGCGGTCAGACGTCTGGACGCACGCGGGCTGGCATTTTCTGCATAGTCTTCGCCTCTGCCCCATGGCTTTCCTGCTTTATTTACTTCCTGTTTGTTTCTTGTGCTTCCCTCCAGCCTAACCTCCCCCAGCTAGAACATAAGCTCCCTGAGAGTAGGGACCTTGCTGCTTTGTTTAGCGCTGCTGTCCTACGGTCGGGCACAAGGCAGGCGCTCAGGAACGAACGGTGCCTGGTTGGCCTCCCGTGTCGCTCTTCCCCGCCGGGTCTCTGTCGTTCCATCACCACCTAGTGGGCACTCTTGTGTACTGCGGGGTGGGGGAGAAAATCGCGTCTGTCGGAGACTGATCCTGCAGAAGGTGGCGGCGGCCCCAGGGGGCAGAGCCGCCCTCCGGTGCCCGGGATCCGTGTTCTCGTCCCCAGCCCGGCGCTCCTTGGAGGGCCTTCCTGAAGGAGGCGGCACTTGAGCTGAGCAATGAGGGCAGTAAGATTTGGAACGGGAGGAATGAGAAAGGGAGAACAGGCATTCCTGGCAGAACCACAGCAAGAGCGTAGGCCTGGAGGCTGGGCAGCTCGGGCACGTGCCGGAAGGGGGAGAGCAAGTAGCAGCAGCTGAAGGCGAGGCCAGGTAATGACCCGAGGAGGAGAGGGGCCCAAGGAAAGGGAACTTCTTCCTAGTGAGTGATCCATGCCAGGTACTTCATAGGCACAAGTTCATTTAATCCCCACAAAGGCCAGTTGAAGTAGATTTTAGGACCCCCATTTTACAGATGAGGAAACTGAGGCACAGATCAGTGAAGTGACTTGCCCAATATCACAGAGCTTGTAAGGGGGAAGAACTGGATTCGAATCTAGATTGAATCTAGACCATCTGACGGATTCTCTTCTCTCTGATGGGGATGCCTGCCTTGGTGTGTGCTTGGCGGTGGGGTGGGAGGGGCATGTTGGGCCCATTATACAGACTTGGAAACTGAAGCCCAACAAGGGGAAAGGAGTTCCCTGATGCTGCACACCAAGTGAGGCCAGCTTTTCTCCTGGCCCCTGCCTGGGCTCCCATATGACAGCTGGAAGCTGAAGCTGCCACACAAGGGCCTGAGCCCTGGCCACCGAGGGTAGCAGAGAGACCAAGTGGGGCCCCTCGGCCAGCCCAGGCCCCTGGGAACTGTGTTTAGGTTTCAGTTCCCAGTCAGGTGCGCCCCTGGGGGAGCGGTGTGAGTGGCAGAGCTACAGGCTGGGGGGCCAGGCCTCCCCAAAGAATGAAAGGAGGCCCAGCAGGACCTGGCCCTGGGCTGACCGAGGCTGGCTTCCCCAGTGCAGTAGGGGGGAGGGCACCGGCTCTACCAGCTCAGTGGCAGACGCGGGTTTCCCCAGACTCTCATCCCAGCTGCAGCCTTGCATCCTGCGCAGGAAGCCACCTGCCTCTTTCTCAGTTCCTCAGTCCCTTGGCCTGCTCTTCCGGGGAACAGAGGGCCCCAGCCTGGGGGAGTCAGAGGGATTCGGGGTCTACCTCTGCTCAGACAGCATCAGGCTCCAAACTATGTGATAAGCATCCCGTCGATAAGCCGGCGAGTGGGCGCTGTCAGGATTCCCACTTTTGAGTGGAGACAACCGAGGCTCAGAGAGCGTCAAGTCCTACCCCGAAGGACTTGCCCAAGGTCACCGAGTCCGAGCTGGACCTCCAATCCAGGTCAAGGTAACTGCTTTGGTTTGAATGTCCCTTCCAAGACTCATGTAGAAATTTAGTTGCTATTGTGACAATGTTGAGTGTTGAGCCCTTTGAGGGGTGATTGGTCATGAGGGCTCGTGGGAGTAGGTTAGCTATGGCTGGAGGGGGCTCCTGATAAAAGGGCAAGTTCGCCCCATTTCTTTCTCCATCTTGGGCGTTTGCTGGCCATGGGATACCTTCCACCATGGGGTGACCCCGCCAGATGCCAGCGCCCTGCTGTCGGACTTCCCAGTCTCCAGAACTGTGAGCCAAATAAACTTTTCTTTACAAATCACCCAGTCTGTGGTATTCTTTCATAGCAGCAAGACAGACTAACCCCAAAGCATGTGACCACAACCCTGATGGCTGCCCCTGTCCTGAGCTGCCAGTGGCTCCTTTGGCTCTATACACAGCTGCTCATTCATCCATGGCCTCGGGGCATCACCTGGAGCTTCTACTGCCTAGGGCCCTGAGGCCTGGGCTGCGGGGCTGCAGGCTTCTGGTTTTCTGCTAATGTGGTCCCCACCGTGCCTGTCCCATTTCCCCCTGTGACCCTCCCCACAGGGTGCACACTCCATAAACACGTTCCCTGTGAGTGAGTGAATCTCTGTAAGTGTGGACACCATCCCTAGTTTTTCTACATGAAAGCTGAGGGTCAGTAGGCACAGGGACCTGCTTGGGTCACCTTCAGGCTCCAGGCAGAGCAGTGACCTGTCCAGGCTGCTGGCCATCCAGCCTGAGGTTTCCTCCACGAGGCGGTTCAGCCTAACAAAGCTCCCCTGGCAGCTTGTGCTACCCCAAATCCGGCATGTGAATCAGAGAGCTGGCTCCCTGGGCCACTTTTCTGCCAGGCAGAGGCCAATTGCCCAGTTGCTCAGCTGCCCCAGTGGTGTGCAAACACTCAGAATGTGTTTGGTTGGAGACCGCCAGAAGATTACCATAGCTGGATTTTTAGAGCTTCCTGGGAGGGAGTGCGTTACTTCTGCTGGGGATTTTTACTAGCGCATTTTCCTTAATCCTTCTTGGGGCATAGCTGGGATTTAGTAATGAGCTGTAACAGCTGGAATATTTGATCCTATGGTCTGGGCCACAACTGTTCATTCTTAAACAAGCTGGGCATCTCTTCTGGATGTCCTAACGCAGCTCCTGCAGGGTACCAGAGGAGCACCATTGCTCACGCAGGGCCAGAGCCAGCACCCCAATTGCGCAGATGGAGCTGCAGAGGCCCAGAGAGGCTGTGAGGCGGGGGCAGAGCCAATGGGGGCAGGACAAGTCTGTGTGCAAAGTCTCAACTGTGGGCAGAGACAAGAGGAGGAGCCACGTCCCAGGATCCAGGAACAGAAGACCATCAGAGAGGGCCCACCAAGGTGTCATGGGACCTCAGGGCAAGACTGTTCTTCACACTGGGGAGGAACCTGCAGGCCTCGGGCCTGGGAGGCATCGATCTCTTTTGCAGGGGAGCTCTCGAGGAGGATCGGCTTTCCCAGAAGCGGTCTTGGCTGAGGATTCATGAGCAAGTGATTTATTAAGAAAGTGCTCCCAGAATAAACCAGGAAGGGAGTGGGAAGCAGGAGGAGGAGGGAAGGGAGACAAACAGCGCATGTCTGGCCTGTTCCTGCAGGCTTCGATCTGGAGTGCAGGTTTCATCTCAGGGTCATGGAACCCCGGCACTGGAGCTGGGCTTCCAGAACCCCACGCCCCGTAGCAGCACCTCCCAGGCAGAAGTGATCAGAGTGCAGCTTCCCGGAGGAGGAGGCGTGGGGCTTGCTGTGTGCGGGTTCTTCAGAGGAAAAAGGGTTTGAGCAGAGGCTGAGGGAGGAGCTCAGGCACACTGCTTGAAGGCCAAGGTTGCCACTTCCCACCTGGAAGAGAACCAAGCCCCATCCCTGACTTAGGACAGGCTGAGGAGGAGTAAGGAACAGGGAGGGGCAGGCGGCTCCCGGCAGGCCGCAGTTCACTCAACTACTGCAGCAAAAGTCCCATAAACACCTCTGGAAGTCCCTCTGTCATCTGCCGATGCTTAGGGCCAAAGCTGTGAACTGTGCTGAGGGACAAGCTAAGCAGTTCATTCATGAGTCACTGGCCTGCAATGGGCCCCGAGAAGCTGTATCAACAGGGGCTCAGGCCCAGGGCAAGGCGGGTGTCAGGCCTGGGTCCCCAGGGCAGAGCCTCGACTAAGACCAGCCCAGGGAGGTGGCTCTGTATTAGTGGCAACCCCTGCCCTTTCTGTTGAGCCCACTTCCCTTTCTTCTTCCCCTCCCTGAAGGCCCCACCTGGAACTCCTGGCCTCCAGCCTTGCCTTCTCCAACACACTCTCCTGGAGTTGCCAAAGGTCCCCTCTAAAATGCAAAACTGCTCCTGTCCCTCCCCTGCCTGCCACCTTCCATGGCTTCCCATTGCTCTCAGGGGAAAGCCCAAAGCTCCCATGTGCCCGAGCTCTCTCCTGATGAGGAAGAGGCTCACCCCATAGGGACTGAGAGCGACAAGCTTCAGGCAGAAACCAGGCGTCCCAGCAGCCCCTCAGAGCCCGTGGGGCACCAGGCAGCAGGGCTGCTGTCTGGGAAGAGCTGCCTGGAACCCGCCCCCAGGGCTCCCTCTCCCTGTAATTAATTTATGGAAAGCATCTAAATTGGGAGTCAACACAGCCCTGCAAATCTCACCTAATCCCTGCCTCCCTGAGGAAGCAGCGCCCTGGAGGTGGAGGTGGAGCTTTTCTTACAGTGATTACATTTGGTCTTGTTTCAAGAAAAAAAACCCAAACAAAACATTTAAGGTCTTATTTTCACAATCACCTGCAGAAAGCGGAGATTTCTAGGTGGTGTTTGGTGTGACCACGGTGGGAACCTCTCAGACCCGCAGCCCAAGGAAGGCATTCGGGGCTCAGGTGGTCTAGCTTGTCAAAAATCCCCCGGGCTCTACCTCTAAGCACACCAGAAGCCTGCTCTTCTCCCCCTTCGCTGCCTCCACCTTGGTCCAAGCAGCAGCACCTCTGCTGCAGGCTCCGGCACCCCCGTCCCACCCTTGTCCTGCCGCAGTCTCTTCTCAGGGGCAGCCGGAGCCAGCTCGAGCTCCTGTGAGGAAGCTCCCCAGGGGTGTGCCACCCCCTCAGGCCTGCCTCCCTTCCTCTGCAGCTTCCCTGGCATCCTGGCTGCCTCCTGCTCTGCCCAGCGCTCTCTGTTCCCCTATCTGGAACCTTCCCCTCCCCCCATGTCCCTGAGGCCTGCGCCCTCCTGTCCTGCAGATCTGGCTGGGAAGTCGGCCCTTCACAGACCTCCCTGACAGCACCGCTCCTTCTCTCCTCCCCTCGCCTGCTTCCCCTGCCCCCTTGGCACTCAGTGCCAGCTGGACATTGCCTTATTTCTTATTTGCGTATTGTCTAGTTGCCCACTCTGCTGTAAGCTCTGACAGCAAGGGCCTTGTTCTATTCGCTGCCATACCCCCAGTGCCAAGAACAGTGCCCGGCACCTCACAGCAGGTGCGTAATAAATATTTATTGAATGAATGAATCATGTCTGTCATTTGATGGAGGGGGCAGGCAGGGCTCCCCAAGATGCTCTGAGGGTGTCCCTCGGTGCATAGAGTCGTTTCAAAGTTATCTCCTACAGGAAGTCTTCTGTCCAGATTTTATTTTTTTATTTTTATTATTTTAAAAGGGTCTCACTATGTTGTCTATGCTGGACTTGAACTCCTGGGCTCAAGCAAACCTCCCGCCTCAGCGTCCTGAGTAGCTGGGACTACAGGTGTGTGCCACCACAGTCGACTCTATCCAGATTTTAAATGAAAGTTCTGGATGCATGCAGCAACTCTGATCACAACGTGGGACCCATTTTCTTTCTTTCTTTCTTTCTTTCTTTCTTTCTTTCTTTTTCTCTTTCTTTCTTTCTTTCTTTCTTTCTTTCTTTCTTTCTTTCTTGTCAGAGTCTCACTCTGTTGCTGGGGCTAGAGTGCCATGGCATCAACCTAGCTCACAGCCACCTAAACTCCTGGGCTCAAGTGATCCTCCTGCCTCAGCCTCCTGAGTAGCTGGGACCACAGGCATGTGCCACCATGCCCGGCTAATTTTTTCTATATATTTTTAGTTGGCCACTTTCTTTCTTTCTATTTGTGAGAGATGGGGTCTCGCTCTTGCTCGGGCTGGTTTTCAAACTCCTGACCTTGAGCAATCCTTCAGCCCCGGCTTCCCAGAGTGCTAGGATTACAGGTGTGAGCCACCACACCCAGCCAGGACCCATTTTCACTTAGTGCAAACACCAGCTCTTCCAGGAAGCCCTCCCAGAGCTCTTCCCAGCCCCCAGTGAGAGTGCCTACCTCCTCCTAGCCCAGCACTTTCTCCCTTGTGGTCATCCTGGGTGTCAGTTCCAGGCCAGCGAGCACCCGCAGCTGGCCCCTGAGTCATACCCAGAGAACACCTGGAGAGCCCGTTTCAGCTCCTACTTAATAGGGCCTCTTGTGCGGGCCTCAGTCATGCCCTTCTCTTCATGTAGGCCTCACAACAACCCTCTGAGGGAGTCATTTGTTATCCCCATTTACAGATGAGGAAACTGCGGTTAGAGGCCACAGCAGTGATTTACCCAAGCCCCACAGCTGGCGTCAGAGAACAGAGCGGAGCCTGGCTCCTTGGCCCTTGGTCCACCCCCACTGCAGCTGCCATGCTCACAGCCAGTGCTCAATAAGTGCTTGGAGAATGAGTGAAAGGGCCGATCTGAGTTCTCAGGGCTTCCGAGCGAGCAAGAAGACGTTGTAACCACAGCACACGACAGCAGGTGGATGGGCGATGGCTGGTCTCATGCTCCGCTGAGCCCTGAAGTCATGCCTGTCCTGCTGCTCTGTGTGGAGAAAGAAAAGGCCAGAACCTCTCCCCAACTGCACTGGAACAGCGAGGCCCCGGGGGACTGGCCTGTGGGATATGAGGAAGCCACATGACAGTGCCCATCACCTAGAGAAGAGATAAGAGGGGTGAATGATGAGCTGGAAGCCAGGGACAGCTGCAGGGACCAGGGTCCCTGCCTCTTGACAATCAGTCCTATCTTTGTTCCGACTCCACCTACTGCATACCATAAGGGCAATATTCCTAGGACCTGCACCTCAGTTTCCTTGTCTGCAATGTGGGGATAACTGTGCCTATCTAAAAGGATCAAAGATTAAATGATATAGCACAAGTGCTTGGCCCAGTGCCTGCAAGAAAGCAAATTCTTAATAAGTAGGCATATAATTATTAGCCGGTTCTGAGGAGGCATACATATTACATTGCCTCCTTCTTCCCCACCCTTATAAATAGATCTCAAGGCCTAGAGGTACAAACTTGGTAGTTTGAAGAAGTGCTATTTATTTAGGGGAAAAAAAAACCCAACAACATAATTAAAATGATAGAGCACAATGGTGGAGATGATGTGGCAAAAGTAGCACAGTATGGTAGCATTTCTTGAGCATTTTAAATATTCAAGGTAACTATTTTATCAAATGCTAAATTTTTTTTTATTTCATCATATTATGGAGTTACAAATATTGTTAGGGTTACAAATATTGCCCCTGCCCCCTCTCCCTCCGCAAATGCTAAATATTAATAAACTCTTACTTTGCTGGAGTGCTTCCAACTTTTAAAATGTATGCCAAAAAATAAGTAATTTCAAAGCTGTCTAAAGTGAGCTGTAAATTGGATTAACAATATTGCCAAGTAGGGCATTTTTCTTTTTGTTTTTCTTTTTTTTCTTCAGCTTTAAAAACGTCTAAAAGTAGGGCATTCTTTCAAACTGGTAAGCAAATATAAATGTCTCCTCCCATCTTTCATCAGGATTAGTCTTTTATTTTTTTATTTTTTATATTTTTTGAGACAGAGTTTCACTCTGTTGCCCAAGCTAGAGTGAGTGCCGTGGCGTCAGCCTAGCTCACAGCAACCTCCATCTCCTGGGCTCAAGCGATCCTCCTGCCTCAGCCTCCCGAGTAGCTGGAACTACAGGCATGCGCCACCATGCCCGACTAATTTTTTCTATATATTTTTAGCTGTCCAATCAATTTCTTTCTATTTATAGTAGAGACGGGGGTCTTGCTCTTGCTCAGGCTGGTCTTGAACTCCTGACCTCAAGCGATCCACCCGACTCAGCCTCCCAGAGTGCTAGGAGCACAGGCGCAGGATTAGTCTTGAATTCAGCAAATTTTGAATTATGCCAGGCCAGGAGTAGATCCTCCTGGCATAAGACATGATGGTCCCACACACTTATATGACACTAGGACTAGCTCTTTGGGAAACAGAAATTTGAAAGAACCTATCACAAGCCTGTGAAAATAAGTAATTCAAATTAAAGTTTTGTGACCTTTAAATTATTTGAGCCTTAAAGGAAATGTGATTGTGGGGCCGGAGTTAAATAATAGGCAGCCGCAAATTTTGTTTCTCTGATTATAGATTAACGTTTCCTTCACCTACATTGTTTTGCAAAATGTTGGAAAAGACAACATGGCGCCAGAGGAAAGACCCCTTTCTTGTTAATTATTGAACCTCTTTATCGATTCACTTTCTTCTTTCTTCTGCATCCGATTCAGACCAGATGGCACAAAAGACCCTATGACTATCAGCTTGCTCAAGATGGAATGTTAAATATACCTTTCCTTAAAAGGAACAAGTTGCAACCAATCATATTGCTGTAATTCACGAACCAGCCTTGTATGAGAAATGTAATCCTGCTGAACTTTGTTTCCACCTGTGTGAGTAAAGCCTTGGCCTCTGCATTTTGAAGCCCTGACCCCATTTCGTTGGCTTCTGTTTCCTGGATGGCTCTCCTTCACCTTTGCACTTGAATAAACTCTTCAGAACTGGAGTCTGATCCTTTTGATGACGTCGGGTTTACAAGCCATAGAGGCCATTCAT